AGGCCATGCGATTGGCACAGGATAGAGCAGGGTTTAGGGCTGTTGTACTAGGGTCGCTATGAGTCGCAAACGACTCGATGGCACATAACAACAACATTACTTGGAACGGTTACAATCTAGAGAACAAATTTCCTCTGCAGTTAAAGAGGTATGGCCATATTATATAGCTACATATGGCTTTAGGGGGCTTTAGTGGCTTAATGGTAAGCTGTGCTGCAATCCTAAAGGCTGGAAGTTTGAACCCATCAGATGCTCTGTGTGGGTGCGGGGTGGAGTGGGGAAGATGGGTAGTCTCCTCCCATGCGATTAAGTGCTTTTGAAAACCCACTGGAGGGTCAGCTGCGACTTGGTTACAACTCGATGGCACACAATGGACAGGTATGGTTTGAATTATATTGGCTTTTAGGGTTTGTACCATCTCAGCGTCTCTGGTTACAAGTTTGGCAGTTGGTGAGCCAGTGCTTATAGGTAAATGAAAAGTTGTAACCTTTTCTTGTAGGGCCACCAGGAGTAATGAGATGAGCAAAATTAAAAGGGAATTTCTCACTCAATCGGGACAGAAGAAATGCTTTCCTGGGGGATGACTTTCCCCCTTACTACACACAGATGTAAATGCAGACTTGAACAGGGCCCTCATTAGTAACACAATGTTATTACTTACCTTCAATTGTATACCTATAATGTGGTCTTTTACCAGTTGTTAAAATAGCTCAGAAAGGTATATTCTACTTCAGTTGATCTTTTTAGTGGTTCTTCTTTTACAAATTTTCAAAGAACTTAATCTCCTGGCTGTAGAGGAGTTCTTTGCTCCCCTAAATCTTAATAGCCAACTCTGCTTGCCTTGTTGCTGTTATTGTTGTGTACTGAATTGGAACTGACCCACAGCTGACCCTCCGGCAGGTTTTCAGAAGTAATAAATTGCAGAGGATATTGCTCATCTGCCTCCCACAGGGCAGCTGGTGGATTCAAACTGTGTGCCTTTGGTATGGCTTCACAGTTCCTTACCCCTAAGCTACCAGAGCTCCCTATACTTGTCTTAGGCTAATACTGGAAATAACTTACTTCTGGACCAAGCAACAAGCAACATTGGCTATGGAGGACCTCCTAAATAACTTTTTTAAAAAATTGTTGAACATTTATTGAGCTTTAAATAACACTTTATGGAAGCTAAACTTTAGGGTGGCTAAGGGGCTGCTCTGATTTATAGGACAATGGGGATCAGTGCACTTATGGTTGTGTCGCCTCATGGATGCCAAACAGTATAAAGCTTGGGCTACCCTGGCAGTAAATGCAGGTTCATAGTCACTCTCAAAAATTGCATAAGGAATGATCCCCTTATGAAATTATTTACATAGTTGTCACTAGCTTCCTCAGCTCTGGTGGGGTAAGCTGCTGCTCAATCTGTAAAGGTGTTTACAGAATTTGGTAGGTATTTATACCCTAGAAATAGCATTATGTCTGAACTATTTCTCCTAGCGTTCCCTGGGATAAGAACCCCCAGCATACAGCTAACTAGAGAAGAGACGGGACTTTCTTGAGAGTTATTGCCTAAGTACACGCCACAGCTATTAATAATCTGCTTAGTAATCCTCCTGGGCCTAGGCCTTCCTTAATGAATAGTTCCACTAAAGCCCTTAAAATGACTTTGCTACATGAAGGGGCTGGGAATGAGAAGCTTGCCTGTCTCCTCAGCTAGACAGTTGAAACTTGACAATGATTGAGACAGTTGGCTTCCTCTCCTTTGCAGTATATACTGGCAGTTTGATTTTGAGAGCCAAGGGTGTATTCAAAGGACTTTCTCATCCTATCTGCTTGGACTCCCTGCCATTGAGCTCACTGTGATTCACAGGCACACTCCACCAAGTCTTTGAGGCTTGAGAAGTGGCTTCCATCCTCCTTCCCCAGAGCTGGTGGTAGGTTTGGAACACTGGAGGCATGCAGCTTTTTGGTTTCCAGCGTGACACACTACATACCATCTTCCTGTATACAAGTTATGTGCCAACAGGTCAATGACGACTCATAGCAATCCCATGAACAACAGATCTGAACCTTGGCAGCTTCACCATCTCCAACACACCTGACCCCAATGCCTCTCACTGTGTCAATCCATCTCATCGAGGGTCTTCCTCTTCACATTGACCCTCTACCCTTTTTTTTTTTTGGTTTGGTTTTTTTATATGTATATTAATTTCAATGAAAATTTAGAGATTTTGGATTTCCATTCATTCATTGTTGCACTCTTCTCCCCTCCCAACCCTCCCCCCTAGTATACTACCCTCTTGGAAAAGTAAAATCCTTTCACGACAAAAATACCTAATCACATACCCCTTCCTTATAGTTTTCTCCCTCATCTGCTTCAATGCAGTATACATTACTGAACCCATCTTTATCAGTCTCCCCCGAAACACGATGTCAGTCCTGTGTTACAACAGTGGCACCATGCAGTATTTGTCCTTTTGTGACTGAGATACTTCCCTCAGCATAATGTCTTCCAGGGTCACCCATTTGAATAATATTGCATGAGTTCCTTGTTTTTCAATGGAGCATAGTATTACATTGTGTGACTATACCACAGCTTCTCTATTCATTTGTTTGTTGATGAGTACTTAGGTTGTTTCCAACTCCTTGCTACTATGAACAAAGCCGCAATAAACATGAGTGTGCATGTATCTGCTTGGATGTCTGCTATGGTCTCTTTGGGGTATATTCCCAGTAGTGGAATTGCTGGGTCAAAAGGTATCTCTATTTGCAACTTTTTGAGAAAGTGCCATACCACCTTCCACCAGTGGTTGCACCATTTTACACTCCCACCAACAATGACGAAGGGTTCCAGTTTCTCCACAACCTCACCAACATTTGTTGCTTGCTGTTCTGTTAAACTTTGCTGTTCTGACTGGGGTGAGATATCTCATAGTTGTTTTGAGACTCTCTACCCTTCTAAAATTATGTCCCTAAGAATTGGTTCCTCCTGACAACATGCTCAAAGTATGTCAGTTTCACCACTTCTGCCTCATAGGAGCAACGCTGGTTTCACTTTCTCTAGGACAGCTGGGTCTGTTCTCTTGGCAGTCCATGGTACTTTTCAATACTCTTCTCAATTCTCCAACTAATGCTATCAGTTATATCTCAGCACAACAGAATGTTCCCTCCTAGTGACACAATCTGTTTGAGAAGAGGAAATGAAGTACTTTAACATGGGGGTGGGGGTGGGTTAGCAATCTTTCACAGAAGGCACTGCCTTCTTTTAAGTTCATTTTCAGGTCATAGTAAATCTTCAAGGCTTCTTACAGGTCCAGTAAATGCACCAGCCAAGACTTCATTCCTTCCTATATCAAAGTAACATTCCATGGACCCACTCCCTCCAAATAACCTATCAGTTAGGCTGACCTATTGCAGAATGACAACTCAACCACAACATGTACCAAGGGTCTTGGATGGTACTAATCTATTTATGGTGGAATGGGTGAACAGGCCCAAGCACATCTACCCCAACAATGCTTGCAGTCAAATTAAGTCTCTCATATCCGTCCTAAATGTTTCTACATATATTAAGTATTGAAGAACTTTGTTTTTAAACATCAAACAAATGTCATGATGTGTTCAAACTCAGAACATACCAACACAGATGGCAAGTTTGTTTTAACTTTTTATTAAAATGCTTAGGATACAGACTTTCTTTTGTAAATGACTATTTGACTTTTCCTGAAATAGGACATGTATGTGTACTCTGAAAACATTATGCAAAGTCTCAATTCATGGGAGTCCTGTACAAAGCTCTGGTCCTTCATGTATGGAGCAGAGCTTCTCATAGTTGTTTCTTTCAGCTACTTTATGGACACAGTGTTCAGATAGGCAAGAAGTAGACAGGTACTACTTATCAATTTCTCTTTCTCCAGTGGCCAAATGAAGCCACTTTCACAAAGAGCTGCCCTATCTAGAACCCAAGTTATAAGGGACAAATTCAGGGAAAACAAGAAAACTAACACTGAAGCAGCCATACTTCCAGGTCTCTGGTAGAGAAGTATGAGGTTAACCTTTAGCCAAAGGATTTTAAGTCAACCACCTAGCTCATCCAATTTTAGCTAGATTTGTTCATTGTAAGGCTTTAGTCCCTTTCCAAACCAACAGTTTTTACTTAATCCAGCTAAATTTTGCTAATAAATGAAGTATATGTTCTCCTCGGACTTTAAAATCAAGTTCCTGCATTTGGTATTTGGCAGTCAAATAGTATGCTTTCCAATAGGTCAAGCTGAAAGAAAAATCCAATTAAAGGAGGATTCTCATCCACAGGAATATGATATGCATACTGCCTACCCTCAGATCAGAAGCAGGAATCCACTGTTCAATCCTCTGCAAACAGGCATCATTCACCATCACAATTTTCAAGAAACTATTTCTAACCTTTCATTAAAGGAAAAGAGGAACCACTCTCTCCTATTCCTTTGCCTTTTACACCAAAGATATAGGTTAAGGTCATGAAAATCCAATGACACACATGGCATTAAGAGAAATGAAATATTATAAAAATAGCCCTCATGCACACTACTGAGGACACTCTCATACTGGGCCTTTGCTCTCTGGTAAGAAGTGATGCTCACTCAAAAGGAACAGCTCTATAGGAAGTTCTTGGGTTAGTATTCTGCTAGTTTATTTCTGGACTGGTGAAAGGGCAATTTCCTATCAAACTTTTTTTTAAGGGGGCAGGTCTGGAGACACTATTGATATTAATCTTTAAACACACCACACACACTCTCTCACTCAGCTATGTGATAGTGAAAATAGATAAGACGCCATTCAGAAACAAAGCATTTTCTGGAAGTGGAAATTTGAAAGCCAAACTGAGTACATCTTTCCTAGAATAATTTGTGCTACAATACCTTATTTTAAATCCTCAACTTGCAGAATGAAGAGTCTTCACGCTGCTGACTTTGCTGACTCTTCTATTAAAAAAAAAATTTCCCCCAGAATTTGTGCAAAAGTAAAACCTCTGCAATATACAACATGAGGAACCTATAATTAATAGCAACTCTTTAAGAGGCAGAAGTCACTATAACTGAAAATGAAAAAGGGGCTATAGACATGAGTGAAACTTCACGACAGTATAAAAAGCAAACACTGGCTGACATTTGTAACTTTAGAAGTAAAAATGCTGCTAACTCACTCTAGAATTAACCTCTTCTCAGCACATCACCAGTCATCCATGCCATGATGTGGAATGCTCGCTCATCAGAGTGGGAACCTGCTGCAACTCCAAAGCCAGGGTGCTGCCACTTTTCTAGTTGTCTGTGCACAAGGTGATGCCACCCACAAAAGGCAGCTACTAGTCAGGTGAGCGCAGGGCCAGCTTCTCACTAACCTGTTCATTCAACAGGACTGAGATCACGTGACCAAGCTCTGGCCTCCAAATGTGTATCTATTATCATTTCACAAATATCTAAATGCCAACTCCCTAGATTTTTTTTTAAAAAAGGGGAAACTCTGGACCAAGTAAATTGTGAACTCAAAAAAGTTAAGAGGGACACCAATTACATCAACATTTTCTTTAAAAAATAGAATCACTTTCTTTTTAAATCAACCACAGTGGTGAGACGTGTTTTTCTTTTCATGCCCCATAATGCACACAGCTTTCCCTAGCAAATCCTTCAGCTTCCAAGTCCCGGGATGCTGAATGCACCAGCACGTGGGGAAGCATGACCTCCCAACAGTGTGGAGAAGAGCACATGTCACCACTGGGCGATGAGATCTGACAGACTCCTGGCTTCTCAGCGCCAAACAAGGCCGGAGAGTTTTCCATGTTCTATTACAAAAGTTCACGAGGAAGCTGTGAATAGGATCAGTCCAGAGACGTAAAACTTGTTTATTTTCACTGTCCAAACATCAGTCAATATACTGGGAGAGCCAACGGAAACCTTCGCCATAGCCTTGCCTCTTGAGCACACTGCACATGAACACTTCCATAGGGCGGGCATTCAGTTCCTTCAAGGTCACGTTCCCCTAAAGAAGGCAAAATCAAGAAAGGGCTGTCAGCACCTCTGTGCTGGAGAAGCTCAAAAGGGTCATCGTTAAAATTACTTTTTCAAGACAAATGTTAAGGAGTGACTAATAACAGAAATGTGGTCCAAGTCATATGGACAGAGATGACCTGCCCAAGGTTTCGTGCTTTCAGCACAGACCTGTTCCCAGACTTTGTCCAGGAGTGACACTTGCTGTCAATCCTCTAACATCTGTCTGGATGGTTATGGCAGCAAATCAAGAAAAAAGGCCACTGGGATCCATGGAACCAGCATCATCTTACTCAATAGACAAAAGAGGTCTTTTTACTATGTTGTTGTGTACTGTAGAGTCGGAACCAACCCATAGCTGACCCTCCAGTGGGTTTTCAGAGGCAGTTAATCACACGGGAGGAGATTGCCCATCCTTCTCCCACAGAGCGGCTGGTGGCCTCGAACCGCATGCCTTTGGAATTGCAGCACTGCTTCTTGCCAATAGGCCACCAGAGCTTCTTCCTATTTACCATGACTTTGCAGAAATATACAAAGAAAATGGGTTGCACTCGGGAAATTTAAGGAGGGTCTCAGGGCACACATGTCATGCAGAATTTGGGACACTAATTGGGAAGAAGCATTTCCAGACGGAAACAGAAAACCAAAAAGTGGAAAGCTTAAAAAAAAAAAAGTTAGAAAATTATCATAAATCAGAGAGAGGAAGATTTTAAAAATTAAGTATTCTAAGACCAGAAACTCCAAAGAATAGGCAATTCTTGGGTAATTACAGCTGATCTCAATTTTCTTTCATACACTTGCTTTTCTACAGCTGTCTGCTTCTCCAAATGGACAGAGAACAGCCTATTCACCTTCAAGACCACCTTCTATTTCTCATTTCATCACTGATTTGTGTGGATCTATGTAGATCGGAACAAAATCACTCTCTTAACCTGAAAAATCAAAGATAACAATCTAAAAAACCCCACAAATGAAATACAATGTAAATGAAGGACTAAAAGGAATACATTGTACATACATGAAACAATGTATATGAAGGATAAAAATATTAATTAAAAAAGGGAAGAGAAAAAGATCATAGTCCTACTTCTCATTGGGGGAACACTGAGCATGGATCGGGTTTTTTTACTGCTCCGAGAAAAATTAATGGCTAATTATTATAAAAAAAAATATTAATCTTCTTTATAACCTGGACTTTCTCAGCAAATATGGATTCTTTCTAAGAAGAGCTCTTCCAAGAAATGTCTTTGAATTAGATTTAAAAGGAAACAAAATTCTTGATGACTGAATAGTAGGAAATAGCCTATTTCCTTCATACTCAAATATCTGAAGATATTATAGGAAAACAAAACATACCCCTGCCTTCAGAAAGCTTGTAACACATTTACAGTGAAACAAACTCTAAATCCATTTAAACCTCTTGGTAAAGTGGTGAATGTCCTTTATATCATGCCTGTTAACAATTTTTCTCTTACCTTTCCTGTGGTCTGTCCATAAAGTCCAAATATCTCACGGAGTTTTTCTTCACTAATGGCATCTGCTCTGTCAATTTTGTTACCCAGGATAAGGATTGGCACATTGGATATTGTTTCATCAGTCATTAAAGCCTAAAGATAAGATTTTTTTTAAAAAAAAAAAAGAAAAATTTTTAAAGTCAAGTAAAGAATCTACAAAAGTCTAGCAGATTACAAAAACAATATTGACTTTCACTGGCCTACCAGGTATCAAATATAAAGTGGACATCAGATAATTAAGTAACTAAAAATTAATCTTAACCTATAATAGCCTTGACATTAGGTAAGAATCCCTTCACGTAGACTCTCCTAATTTCCTCATTAGAATTGGCTCAGGACTATCTATCTATCTATATTTAAAAAGTAATATAACTGCCTCAACTTTAAAGATAAATTTTTCAGCCACAGACAATTCTTCAAGATATCCATTTGCCACAGTCCCAGAAGAAAGAACGCTCTAGAAACAGAGCCTAAAAGTGATGAGAGAACTCCACAAGTAAGTAGTCTTTGCCCAATGTGTGTAAGTACTGAGGCTGTTGAGAGGGATACAAAACCAAGGGTGAGACACAGTCCCTTCTCAAGAGATCCTCATTCTATATTTAGACATATACTGACACAACTTAGTAACAAGCTTATTTAGACAAAGCAAAAATCAAAAGGAAAAACAATAAATGGAACAGAGAATGTAAACACCAAAAGAGAAATAGAACAGCAAAGATACAGCATCTTAACTAGGTACTAAAGGAAGGGAAAGATGTAGATAAATAAAAACCATAATGACTTTACAGTAGGAAAAGAAAGTCACATGACTGGATTAAAGAATACAGAGCGACAAGAGTTAACGGGATGGGTGAAGATGAAGCACAATATGGTGATAGTCTGTGAAGGCAGCTATGATATATCTTAAAGACTCCTACACCCAGAAGTTACTGCATATGTAAGACAATATTTGTCTGTGGTGCTCAAGTGTAAGGTGTGATCTAGCTTAAGGCAGTAAGTAGCATTTAATAAATGAAACAGGAGGCATTCTGGAGAAGTGAAGGGACAAGATACCTAAATGAGAAGGGCAGACAAAGAGAATTCTTAACTGGCAGAGTTCAAGTCTGAGAATCTAGTTTTCACTGACAGGAAAGTTATGAAGGAAAAGAGAGCTTAAGGAAATATGCTTGACTATCTGCATCCATCAAAGTACAGCTGTCATCCGTTCATTAAACACTAGGACATAAGTGCCTACTATGTGTTAGATGCTTTGCTAGCTACTGGATTCAGAGAGAAAGATGATGAAGGCCCTCCCATCAACATTCACTCTCTGGTGAGAGACACCTGTAAGAAAACAATTTTAAAAACCCCTCAACCACCAGTGAAGACAGGGCAGAATGTTAATAGAGGCTGAGAAGTCAGGAAGGTTTCCTAGAAGTGGTCATTGATCAACTCTGAGTTCTCTTAGTAACAGGAGACACAGCTGAGCATGAATAGGTATACATATAAATTCAGGGAAGGGCAAGTTGTGCTTTATATTTAGAATAGTTCAACAGAGGAGAAAAAGAAACGTATAGAAATAATCCCAGGGAAGATCATCACTGGTCCTCCGTGCTATGCAAAGGATTTATGGATCTCATCTAGAAAGTGACAGATAATTAACATGTTACGGGCAGCAGTGAAAAGTCTATGACAGTTCCTTGGAACACTCTAGTGCATGGCATGGCAGTTATGAGGGAAATGCACAAGTGGGAGACCAATTAGGTAGTGGAGCAAAAAGCTGAAATAATCAAAGTCTAAAATAGTAAGGGTGCTATAAAGCAGATTAGATTCTAAGTAAAAGAGACAGGGCTTGATATCCAAGGACAAATTACTACAGAATTCAGTTAAGTACACACAGGAATGGGGTAATCATTGGACTAGGATGGAGGAGAGGGCAAACCATCTTTTCTGAGTCAGTGTAATGATGTGTACAGACAGTATCCCCCAAAGTTATTGAAAAGTTCCTATCAATGGCCTCCTTAGCCTCTTAGCCTATGTAAGCCTCCCCCACTTTATCAATGGTAGGAGGGTGGTGGAGAGGGCTGTTCCATAGAATCTACAGTAATTTACAGGTTTCTGGACCAAGTAGATGGTGAGGAAGATGAATTGTTCTCTTCTGGGAAAGCATAAGTGGACGATGCAGTTGACAGACTGCTTTATACATGAGACAGAGGTTCAAGAACAAGGTTCTACACAAGTGAAATTAATTGAGGACTATCAGCATCTGAATGCTAGATGAAGGCATGGGAGTAGAGACCTTAAGAATACCAATATTTAAACACTAAGCAGAGGAACAGATGATGAAGGGAGGCAGAGGCAGGCAGGAGAAAAAATGAGAAATATTGGCCAGAAAGACAGTACACCCACTCTTCAAGTTAAGTTCTCAAGAGCAGGTCATTATGTGAAAATGGAGGACGACTATACACACTTAAAAAACAGAAGACTGTATCATTACACAAGACCCAAACCACTGAGAATCATGGCCCAGACAAGAGAACACACAATCTCAGCCATCACATCCAATATATTCTCATCTCACCTGTCTGGTGTTTATTACTGCCAGTTGTACCTTGTTAATGAATAAAATAGCAGTAAATTTTTACTACCGTCATAAATGTGGAATGTAGTTAACAAGACAGACAGTAAGAGAAGAATGATCAGTACTATGAAGTCAAATTAGGTAGACACCGACATATATGCACAAGGGACAAGAGTCTGAGTCAAGGAACACAAATAAGTTAACTCTAGACAGGTTCAAATTGCCAGGAGTATGAGTGCAGAGACACTGTATTTAGAGAAAAACAAGAATGGCTTAAAGGAGCAGGTAATAGAGTAGTGGGGAAAACAGTATTATAGAGGCAGGAAAGCCAAAAACAGCAACAGCAACAACACACACAAACAGAACCCAACAGTGTTGGGAAAGGAGAAAACTTGAAGCCAGTCTTTGACAGTAATAAATGGGGCAGTTGACTAAAATGGAAGAGTGAGAAGAGATTAATATGGCCTGGCTAATCATTCAGTGGGATGCTTTGGTGACTTAATGGTAAGAAGTTCTGCTGCCAACCAAAAGGCTAGAGGTTTGGATGTATTGGCTGTTCCACAGGGTAAAGAAAGGCCGTCTCATTCCAGGAGTGCAATTTGCTGCTTCTAAAGACTTGCTGGAGGGCCAGCTATAGGTCGCTTCTGACTCAATGGTCATAGTAACAGCAATTATTCAGTGAGAGAGTGATTAGGCATAACAACACCAAGAATTCAGACGCAAAAGGTGAAGGAACTCTAACTGGTTTCATTATGCCAGCAGTAGAGTGACCACTCATGATGAATTGAAAAGAACGCTATTTCTGGGGCCATAGGCATCAGCTGGAGACTGTCCTACAAAACTGGGCTATAAACAAGAAAGTTTAGCTGAGCTTACTCGGGACACTGAAAAGCAGTATATTCAACTGTCTGCCTTTTCATTTTGTTGTTGTTGAGAACATACATTAATTCAACAGTTTGTGCAATTCAGTAACACTATGTTGTGTAACCGTCACTGTTTTTGAGCTGTTCTTCCCACTAAAATAATAGTGATAACATAAACTCACTGACCCTGAGGTTCCAATCTAACCTTTTTAATGTTGCCAATTTTGATCCCATATAGTTCTTAAAAGAGCACGATATTCCATTTCCTAAATTTTTAAACCCTTTCTTCCTGTATCTAGGGCTTTCACTAAATGTTAACTAGAATTATTGGCACTACTAAGCTGCATTCCTGAAAAGAAAGAGAAGAAAGGAAAAACAAATTATTAACTTACATTAAGCTCAACTTTGGACTCCATGAGACGAGAATGATCTGCACAGTCCACCAGAAACACAATCCCATTAATTGCTGGAAGATAATTTTTCCAAACCCGACGTGCTAAAAGAGAGTTATAGATGAAGCAATTAATATCTGTGTGTATATATGTATATGGAGTGAATAACCTAACGGCCTGGATTCTTCAAAGTCCTAGTCAGAGGGTGCAAATTGATGGCCCATTAGCTGTTGCTGTCTTTTTTAAATATGAAAATCAGGAGTCCTACAACATTTAGCATTCTTACACCTATATGCAGGGAGTTCTGACGGCCTAGTGCTATGAAGATGCGCTGCAATCCCAAAGGTATGTAGTTTGAATTCACCAGCTGCTCCAGGGGAGAAAGACAATCACCTGCCTCTGAAAACCTGTGGGAGGGTCAGGCATCAGTCAGTTCCCACTCGATGGTACTAAGCAACAACATACCTATATACGTACTCCTAAGTTAATCAGCTGGAACTGAGTTTGCAGAAATTTCCACCACTCTTCACTTTTAAAAAAAAAAATTTATTTATATAATTAGTTTCATTTACATTATATTGGATTCATGTACATTGTGGCTTATTTTTCCCTTTTCAGTTATTGCACTAATAACTTCCTTCAAGAAAGCGTATAAGCCAGCTACTTTATGACTCATGTTCCAACACTGCCTTATATACAGTCCATGTCACTCATCTATGTGACCTTTCTCACCCCTGAGCCATTTTCATTTGCATTTGCAAACCCTGAGTTATATCATTAGAGTACAAAGTGCCTGTCACTGCAACTTTAGGCTCAGGTTAGTCTCTAACAATGTGTGGGTGTGCTGCCACATGTCATCTACCCATGTAGCCCTCATGGGATGGGGCCTATCATGCAGTTGAAGTCTCCAGTCATTTCAGCTCCTAGCCTTAAGAAACCAAACCTGCTGCTTCTAAGTTGATTCAAACTCATGAAGACCTTCAATAAGGTTACTTTTGAAAAGTGAAAGAACTAGGGAGTAGAGGCTGAGTGAACTTTTACTTTACCTATTTCTATACTGACTGAATTTGTTATATTTTGACTGAATTTGTTACACTTAGCCTGCATTACTTTTAAAAAAGTGAAGTTTTAAAATTACAGACGTGCAAAAAAGAATTTTGAGAACATTTTAGTAATGCCTGGAAAATGGTGGCTAAGTTATGACGGTGTTTAAGTCAATTTTCTAGGGGAAAAACTCTGAAGCCAAAGTTATCACACCATTATCATCAAATTGGGGAACTCTGGTATTTTAGTGATATACTGCCGATCCAAAGGTAGGTGTTTGAATCCATCAGTTGCTCTGCAGAAAAATCTCCTTCCGTCCAATTTGCCTATGTAAAACCCGCTAGAAGGTCAGTTCTGACTTGAAAGAACATAACAACAATCATCAACTGATATGTAAAAACATTTACTCATTCTATATTCTCAAGCTTATCATTTTAAACTGCTCTGAATCAGTGTGAAGCAGTCACACAATAATTCTCTTGAAAGACAAAATGTGGTCGTTCCTTTCTAACCACATAAAAACTCAATTCAAATTTACTGCCATCAAGTCAGAACCAAGCCATCATATCTGACCCTCCAATGGACTTTCAGATCCTCTAAAACACAGGGGAAGAGATTACTCATGTTTGCTCAATGGAGGTACTGGTGGATTCAAGTTGTCAGAGAGCTGCCATCACTGCTCCCTACCACCTCACCACCAGAGCTCCCTCACCCCAACGAAAAGAACATAATAAATACATGACTGAAAAAAAGAAAGAAAACACTCCAGCAAAGCATAACCACTGTTACCATTTTGGTAGATTCTCGTCTGATCTTTTTTTCTGTAGAGTTTTTAATGTGATTGTGATTATATGGCATATGTACTTTTGCAAGATATAAATACCATATTACTGAGATAAATTTAACCCTAAGAAAATCACGGACTATAAATTAGGCTATAAGACTAGAAACTGCCAATATTCTATTTTTAAACTATATTTTTAAAAACTGTATTAGAGTCAACCTAATGTAATGCTTCAAACACATATGTCTTAACAAATGAGCAAATTTGATGTAACTCCAATTTCTTTTTCTACTTTCCCAGAATATTTATTCCCATACTTTAAATGTTTACTGTCAAGGCTATAGTCTTGCCAAATATAACTTGAGTATCGTCAAATAAAGAAGTCCCATTGTGAACATTTCTAAAGTGTGTACATTAAGTCTGAATAGCACACTTGATAGATATCTGGGAACAATTTACAGAGCAGAAAGAGGAGAGGGAGGGCAAGAAGTAGAAGAAAATGTTCCATTCACTTCTTTTAATAGGCAAAGTATACAAAATAGCAAATCGGAAAAGGACACAAAGTTGGTCTCCTACATAACAGCACTCCCCTAAATAAAGGACACTAAAAGGACAGGCTGACTAAATCCAATTATGTGGTATTGTGCCAAGTGATAATGTTGGGAGGGGGAAGTGATGGCATTATTTGGCCAACTGGGGAAAAAAATCTGCACATACATTATACTACTACTATCCATCGCCAGAGTCAGAATTGACGTACAGCTCAGCTGACCCTCCAGTGGGTTTTCAGAGGCTGCTAAGTGAGGAGAATGCTCATATTTCTCGCACAGAGCAACGGCAGATTTGAACTACATAGGCCTTTGAATTGCCAGTGCAACCTTCTATCCATTTGGCAAGAGCAAATGTCTTATTCTTAGGAAATACAAACTAAGATACATAATGAACTCACAAATAGTTCAAAAAGTAAATAGGTATCTCTCTGTGCATGTGAAAAAAATTGTTAGTTGCTGTCAAGTTCACTCAAAGGCATAGCAGCTCTATGTATGCAAAGTAAAATTCCTCATGGAACAGAACTGTGACTTTCTGGAAGCAGGATCAGAGGTGTCTGTCTTCCAACGTACCTCTGGGTAGATTCAAACTGCCAACTTATCAGCTAATCATCAACTGCTTAACCATTTGTGCCACACACACAATCTGTGCCTTCTACATACATACCTGGTGGAGAGACAGCTAAGAATCAGTTCTGACTTGATGGCATTGAGGAATGAGTGAGTGAAGGAGAAACAGAGGTAAACAGGCACTGGAGAGCAGAATTTGCAACTTCTGACATAGTTTTGTTTTTGTTTTAACAAATCTGTAATTTTATTTATTTACTTTTCAGTAAGTTTAAATCCTAGAGGTATATGGCATTACAGATTCTGTGTCCAATGGCCTTTGCAGGATGGTTTTTTCTAAACTTGGCCCAAACAGCGCCACTGTTTGTATGGGCACGAGTTACCTTTCCCCAGATTACTACAGTTTTGTTAGGTTTGCCAATCAGGAATCACTATATTATTTTTTGCTTTGTAAACATAAGCATATCTCTTGCCTAAATAAAATTCTGGTTCATCTCAGGCACAAACACTTCAATTTTAAGAAAAGCTTTGTGCTCCCTCTGGTTCAGAAACCCTCATTTATAGCCACCAAATGTAGCTTTGCACCACAGTCTCCCCGCCATCTCTGTGGTTCAGAAGTCCTGCTCCCAGGAAGCCTTCAAGATAGCCCAACACGTTTTGAAATTACTTAAAAAAGGAATTTAAAAAACTTAATTGAAGTATAAGGAAAGTTACCTCGAATGAAAAGTGACTAAATGGGGAATAAATACAAAATGAACTCTAATATCATCCTCCCATTCAACTGTATCTTACCTTGTTCATGTCCACCAAGGTCAAAAGTTGTAAAAGTCATTCCAGCGATTGTCAGCTCTTCTGATGCTGAAAAATTATAAAATAAAATCACACACAAAAAGGAGAAAAGAAATAAATTTTGCATTTGTAATTCAGCCACAGTCCAGCTAGTAGTGCTGTTAAGCAAATACTAATATATGTGGCCCAAGTATATTCTACTGGAAAATTTTCAAATTATCTGTGATACAGTGAATTAAGTAATAAGGCCCTTCTAGGATTTTGGCCCCTTTGTGTATGCGTCAGACTTCATTTGAGAATAAGTTTGTGATAAATAAGAGGTGGGATTAGAATGGGATAAATCTTGAAGCTCTACCCTACTATCAAAGGTTATAACACAAATCACCACCCTTAGTTCTCCTGGGGGTGTGGTTTATATCCCTGAGCTTTTATACAGAGGACTGCATCTAAGAAGCTCATTCTCTTTCTCTATAGCTTAGGACATTGCACCTAATCTGATCCAGCTGTTTGTAGCCTGCAATCACCTGGCTTCCCTGTTCACTAGCATCTCTGACCATGTTCATCAATCTACATCACCTACAATTGCATGACCCGTTCTCTGACAGTTTTTTAGTTTCTTTGAAACTTTCCAGCAAACTACAGAAACCAATGGCAAACAGGAGTGAGAAGGTTGAGGGGAGGAGGAATAATAGTACAACAGTCTGGACATTTGGGACATTTTACCTCTGCCTTACAGGATCTAGTCTGGTACTAATCTTTGTAAAACAAATTATTTTTATACAAGTAACGAAGAACTGCATCAGTTTGGAGAATATCCCTCAAAGCTGATAATGACTTTCAAATATAAAAAGAACTCAAAAAAGAAAAAAAGATCTCCTGGCATTTTCAAACTTACTAGGATGCAATGTTGGAACATGTTGGCCCAATCTATCATCTTTGAGCATGTGTAGAAGAGTGGTTTTGCCTGCATTATCCAAACCCAAGAACACAAGTTTCCCAGATTTCTTGTAGAGTCCTAAAAGAAAAAGAAATCTAAATGAAGCTTAGGTGTCTACATACCAAAGATTACTTGTATTTAAATTGTTTGAGGAAACACAAAAACTTTTAACCTACATTTTTTTCAGAAAAGAACTTTACCTAGGAACTGGAGCACACTGCTGAAGCCATTGTAGATCCACTCAAAGATGAAAGACATTATTAGCGCTTACTACCTGTATCAAATATGAAAACATCATACATTAGCTTCCAGAATGGCAGTAGAGTTCTGGAGATTAACCTTTACCTCTCACTCTGAAGTAATTTTACAATCTCAAAATACAAGAAAGTAAAGTAAGGAAGATACCAAAGATTGCCCTTCTCTCTATAGACTTGAGAACTGTACACCCTAGAGGGAACCATCTATGGTCCTCAGCTCTATACAAATAATGGTATACAACAATCTATTATATTCAAAAGACAGCAAGTTAAAGATAGATTTGCCTCTTCTAGTGGACAACTCGAGGTCACAGCCAGCTGCTTACTCACCTTCCTTATACATGCTCGTTCACTGCCAGTTAGTAGTCCATGTAGGAAATTAGTCTCATGAATAATCTGAATCAAAATGCCACCAAAATACACTAACTATAAAATACAAACTAGAATAATTTAGCCTATCCTTGTAAACAATCCTAAAACATAGGCACCAACATTCTACTGCCTGGCACAATCTGCCCTGCTCTACTTTATCTATTAATGCTATCTCTTCTTAAGTAATATTTAATCCTTTTCGTGCAGACAGGTATTTCAATTAATAATAAAAGATAACCATAATCCTTTCATAATGTGAGTATACAAGCACTAACACGTTTGACAAATAGAAATTTCCTCGAAATGATGAATTTTTGTTCAAGCCAGAGTAGTAGTCTCAAGCTAATTTCATCACAATTGACGTTAACACCATAATCCCACAGGTCTAGAAAAAAAAACATAAAACCCAAAGAGTCTAAAATCATTGATAATAAACAAGAGGACTTCTGAGTGAGTTAAGAGGAAGCACACAGGAGTTTCTCAGAGCCGGCATTTCCTGGCCACACTGATTTCCTGCCTCAATGTCTCAGACACAGACGAAAACAAACAAACAAAAAACCCACAACAAAAAACATAAAGCAAACAAAAAAACAACACAAAACACCTCAACAAAACAAACAAAAATAACAAAACCAACAACACCCAAAACAAACCAAAACCTGCTCTCCACCACTAGGAACAGCTGAGCACAAGAATATGTGTCAGATGCAACCAGCTGCTATCAAACAAAACTGTTTTCATCAAATATAACCCTGTAAAAATCATTATCCACAAAAACCACCTATAGGGTCATCACTGAAAGAATAATAAATGAAGAAACTGAAAAGTGAAGGTCTTAGGTCTTGGTTTTCATCCTATAAACTAGGTATCAGGCCTGCAGCCTGACCTATAGACGTTGTTACAAGCACTAGGGCCTGTTTAAAATTGCTTTCCACTGCTCTTATGAATGGAGGGCCAAAGGAGGGTTAGGAGTTTTGGGTAGGTAAAAAGTGAAAGCAAAAGAGAAAATGCAAATACGTTAAATGATTTTGCTGTCATTGACCTCTTCAATAACAACAAACTACAGGAGGTAATTTTTTTTTAAAGACCAAATTTTAACTGGAATGCATGTCAAATACAGTAATTTTGTCTAGAAACTCAGTCTGCTCTTTAAGAAGTCCAGTAACATAAAATACACTTGAAAAAAAACCCCATAGTTGGTCCTTTTTATTATAGGCTAGTAATAGAACAACCCTATGAACCTGGAGAGAGGAGGAAAGGCACCCAAGCATCGAGGACTCTCCTTCATAGGGTCGCTATGAGTCGCCTGCGACTCGATGGCACTTAACAACAACAACAACAGAACAACAGAAAGCACTAGTGGCGTAGTAGGTAGGAGCTGTGCTGCAATCCTGAAGGCCCACGGTTTGAATCCACCAACTGCTTCGCAAAAGAAAAAATGGGCAATCTCCTCCCTTGTGATTAACTGCCTCTGAAAACCCCCAGAGGGTCAACTATGGGTCAGATTCAACAATAACAACAGAACAATGCTCCTTCCCTCTACAATGCCAGCCAGCCTTCCAGAAGTGCGCTCATCTTTATTTAGAAAGCACTCAGTTAAAGTCACTCTCATTCAGAAGACTCTTTAACAACCTTACTCTTGGTCGTTAGCACTACAAGTTGTTGGACTCTGTGCTTTACAGACTTTTTATTAAGTCTGAATGTATAATTTTAGAAGTATGTTTTGCACTCCCCAAATAGCTGAAGACTGGCAGGGTCTGGACAATGGGAAAAATCCACTGTATTAAAGGACTTTCAATATTAATTTAATTTTCCAATTTATTTTCCTTTAAAACTTATTCTTACCTCCAAAACACTATAGAGTGCTTAAAGAAACTCTTTAGGTGATGCTAAATATTAAAAACTCACTCTTAAAGGCAAAATGTGTATGAATGGTTGAATGAAGAATCTTTACACACACATACACACACACACACACCCCACCCACTCTCCCCTCCCCCCTTTCTCTCATACACTTTCTAGGAGAATAGAAAAACAAGGGAAAAAACCTCCAACATTCTAAACACACAAAAACCCCAAACAACTCTTAGTGGACCCAAAACACTGGGTTAAAGTTAAAGGAAATGGCTCCAGCAATCCTTGAGTTCTTAGGGTTCGTAACCATTTCTGAGAACTGTTTCATAGTTTATACAGTGGCTGCACATTTATCTCATGTCATCCTCACACGAACCACATCAGGCAGGAATCCCTGCCCTCATATAACATATGTTGTTGTGTACCCGCCAGTCGGAACCGACTCACAGCTTACCCTCCCGCAGGTTTTCAGAGGCAGTTTTATTTGTATAGGAGGAGACTGCCCATCTTTCTCCTGCGGAGCAACTGGTGGATTCGAACTGTGTGCCCGCAAGATTGCAGTGCAGCTTCACTGGGCCACTAGAGCTTTCTCATGTAGCATAGGAGGATACCGATATTCCTAGTTGAACTACTCTGTCCAAGATGGCTCAGTTAAAAAAAGTAACATAATCATCTTTTAAATACCAAAGGTTTTCCTAATATAACAAAATCTCAAACTCCAAATCACAAAGTTTCTTAAAGAAAATAAAATCCGGTGGAGAGCTCTGGTGGCCTAGTGGCAAGAAGCTGCACTACAATCCCAGAGGCTCGCGGTTCAAATTCACCAGATGCTCTGCTGGGGAAGGAGGGACAATCTCCTCCTGTGCCAGTCGGATCCGATTTGATGGTGCACACACACACAAATAATAAAATAAAAATAAAAAAAAAAGAAAGTCCCCCCTAAATCACCAGCTCCACAGTTCTCAAAAAGTCTTCCTTATAACTTATCACATCTTTTGGACGGTATTTTAATATTTAATGACTAGCATTCTTCCTCCTCCCTATTCTTGATGCATGTTATCACTATGACAGGGCTTTGGAACTTAGAGCTGACCCTCTAGGAGGCTTTCAGAAGCTGTAAACTGGAGGGGAGGAGACTGTCCATCTTTCTCCATTGGAGCAGCCAGCGGATTCGAACCGCGTGCCTTTGGGTTGGCTGAGTAACTCCCTACCACTATTCTCCATGTAAGGGTTTGAAAGTGCTGGCCAAAACACTGTTCACGTACACCAAATTATTCAGGACACCAGTATAGCTTTGGGGCACCTGACTTTTAGCTTAAACACAACTTCTTGTTAGAGTAAATGTCAACAGTCAGTCCCAATGCAAATACCACAACCATATGCCCCATGCCAAATCCCAAGCAGGTGGCAAGAACGTTAACAAAATTCGGCGTCAACACTAGCAAGTTGCTCAAAACTCCAACTAAATGAATGGTGAGCGTCAGCGGCCCACTGCCAAGGAGCTGTACTGCCAACACACAGGCCCGGCGGTTCGAATCCACCGGGGGGGGGGGGAGGCTGGGCATTTACAGCTTCCGAAAGCTCGCCTGGTTGGTCAGCTGAGTCGGCTCCGACCCGACGCCTCCTAACAGCAGCGTACCCACAGAGCTAATGAGGGAATTTTTCCATGCAAGGAGAGGAGGGAAAGGAGAAAATAGGAGTTTCGAGCCAGAGGACCGCAGGATAACAGAGCCGGAGTCGAGGGAGCCCTGAACCAGGAGCCGGGAAGAGCTGGTCGGAGCGCTCACACCTGCTAGATGCCAGGCTTGGCCAAATCGCTCTGCCACGGCCGATCTCAGTCTCCGACCCTGACCACCACCCACGATCAGCAAAGCCTCCCACCGTCTCACCAAAGGCTGCGAAGGCGCGTCCCAGATAGAGGACGCGAAGCCGTTCCAAACATCAAGCCCACACACAGTCCAGACCCGAGAAGTATCATCCGAAGCGGACCATCCTCCGTGCCCCGACCCCCGAGTGGAATACGTGCCGGCCCAATACCCCTTAGAGTGGGGAGACGGCGGGGCCGCCAGGACCAAGTCGGCCGGTCCCCGCCCAGAACCAGCCCCGCGGCCCCACAGAACCGCCTGCGTGTCACTTCCCCCCCACCACCCGGCAGGAGCCGGCCTCCACGCCGGCCTCCACCATCTGCCGCAGCCCCTCCAACTCCGGCTCCTTCCCCCGCTGCGACCTCGTGACTCACGCCTGAGGGGCTGCTCCCGCCGAGTCGGGAGGTTCCGACTCTGCCTCAGAACACACAGAACAGCAGCAACAACCGAGACCGCCAGCTACTTGCCGGAAGTGCGTAACATCCCCTCCCCCGGGACTTCCGGGTGTGTACTTATTCCCGCCCCTTCGCGAGCGCAGCGGCGCCGGGTCACCTCAGTGTCGCCCAACCAGAAACTCGGGCTGTGGAGGGGCGGGCCCAAGGCGTGACGCTGCGAGTGCGGGGGCGAGTCTTGTCTTGACCCTGCCTCCTGCCGTACGCAAGAGACGTGGCAACACCGGGGGCCCAGGGGCTGGGGGCGGGGTCCTAGCATCCCCGAATTGCCTAATGTGTTCAACGTTATCTGCATCCTCAGCTCTCGGGAGACATTAATAATAACCTTTTAGTCCTCGACCAAAAATGAATCCCACCAACTTTTTGCTTTAAGTCATATTATCCTGTTAGATTCCTCCGTCCCCCCCAGCAACATTTATGTTCACTGAATGCTTTGCATGCTTCATCCATTTTACCCTCATGACAGTCCAATAA